ATCGGCCATTACAAAAAAGGCGCTTCGGCCATTAAGACTACTATTAAAAACAAAAAGAAACCAAGTACAAGGAAGCTAAGTACAAATACTAAACAGCTTGTCCTTGGCCACCCTCGACGGCTCCGCTGTCCGCATCGTCTTGCTCATCCTCAGTATTTTTTGACTTGGTCGAGGTCCGGAAGAGGTAATCATCACTCTCGGTCCAGGGCTCGTCCTCCTCGCTCGAGCTCAGAATGGGGGGCTGCCTTTCGGACAGAGGAAGTTTCAGCTCCTCCTCGGGGTCCTTCATCATCCGGGGAAGGCCGATACCCCTGGGCTTCAGGTTCTTTACACGCCGGCGGAGGCGGCGGTAAACCAGCATCTGCATACGCCTCTGGCCGAGGTCGTACCAGACTTCAAACTCCTCTTTCAGGCGGGCTCGGCCAGCTTCCTCCTGAGACCACGCCTCGAAGCGCTCCGCCACGACGTCAAAGCTCCAATCACGGCGGGCATCGTCCTTCCAACCTTCAGCCATGAACAGCTCAATGGCTCTATCAGCAGCCGCTGTCGCATCGGCCTCTAGCTTCACGGCTCTTTCCTCTGCCAGCCGACGTGCCGCTGCTTCTTCATCCAGCTGAACTTTGAGGCGTTTCGCCTCGTCTTCGGCAGCAACGGCTTTCTTCTCAGCCGCATCGGCCCTCTCCTTCAAGGAGCCAGTTTCAGCCCGAAGCCGCTCCAATTGGGATAGCGCCTCGTCTGCAGAGGCGGCTTTCCTCTCAGCTTCGCGAAGACGAGCAAACTCCTCGTCCTGCCGCCGCTGCTGCTCCATGAGCATGAAGGCACCCTAAAGAAACATACAACATTAGAAAAAGAAGGAACACAAAAATTACTAAGTACAAAAAGCCGGATTTTTACCTGGACGATGTAGTCTAAGCCGCCATCGAAGAGGCGCACATCCTTGCTCTGCCGCCGCAGGTACTCCCTATCGGCATCGGGAATGGCCTGGAACAGGACGTCGTGCCCGGAGACCTTCTCATTGAATAAACCGCCCTTCGGCGGATACCGCACCGTCACCTCATAGAGACCGGAGGTCAGATCTCGGTCAGCACGGGCACTCTTCTTCGCAGCAGCCCCAGACTTCGAAGGAACCAGGGCGGACGAGGCGACATTCAATGTCAGATCCTCGATGATGTGCACATCAGAGGCAGCTCCCCCTTGAGCAGATGCCTGCGTATCGGCCAAGGCAGCATCATTAGGGGGAGGGTTCGGCTTCGTCTTCTTGGCGCCTTCAGCCGGCACCAGACCCGTCTCGGTAAGAGTACGCTGGCCCTCAGCAGCCTTCTTCCTCTTCACCACCTGCTTTTTCGCCGCATCGGCTTGACCCTTGGAGCCGTCACCAGAAGCCTTAGACGCTTCGGCACGCTGGGCAGCCTCCAACTCCTTTGCAACCTGCTTCTTGGCCTGAACCATGAACATTTTGTGACTCATCTCGTAACCTGCAAGGACGACACCAAAAGACAAAAAGAGTTAGAAGCAAAGAAAAATGCTAAGTACAAAAGTTTTAAGAGAAAAGCTATCAACCTTCGGCTTCGGCCGGAATCCCAATAAGTGGCCCATCGGCCTGTTCAAAAGAGCCAGAGATCTTCGGCCACAAACCGCAATCAGGGTCGCCAGGAATGTAATACCGCATCATCCCGAGAGCTGCAATCTTAAACTCAGTGATGTACGTGTTCACACTCCTCGGCCCACCTTTTAGGAATGCCTCAACTTGGGCATCGAGCTCAGCGCTTCGCGGCGGATTATGCAGGCTAAAATTACCATTATGACCTTGCGAAGGAAAGAAAACCCCATCGGCCAACTTCACGAATACAAACTTCGCCTTCCACCCATGGATAGACGAAGGGAGGTCTTTGAAAGATTTCTTCTCCGGGAGTTGCTGAAGCGTAGCATAACCAGCACAATTCTTATGGCTCCCTCGGCCGATCCGGAACAAATTTGTAAAAAGAGCCGTCGTGGGCTCAAAACCCAGCTCGTCGCATCGGATGAGGAACCCGACGATCAGTGAGAAACTATTCGGCGTCAACAGCGCCGGGGGGAGATCTACCATCCTCAAGTACTCAATCACAAAAGGGGGCAGCGGAAACCGCAGCCCTTGCGAGAACCCCATCGGATAAACCCCGAAGTACCCAGGAGGAGGATCCAGAACATGGTCCGTCGGCCTAGGCTCCCTCACCTTTCCATAAGGCCCAACATACAGCTGAGCCAAATGATAATCACCTCGGGTGCCCTCGGGCCTTATGACATACAGATTTGTTAAGTCCAACTGGGACAACCCGCCAGCCGCAGCCTTCCTTCGACGCGACGCGCGCTCCTTGGTGACCCTAGAAGACGACGCCCCACCTGGCACAGACGAAATAGGTGGAGGGCAGGGGATGGCGGCCGAAGAGGCATCACCCGCTTCGTCTCCCCGAAGTTTGGGTTCCGAGCTCGCCTCGTCCTCGCCCGATTGTTGGGAACCCGCATCATCATTCAGACGCTCCTCGTCCTGAGAAGTGCGGTAATCGGCAGTATTCTCCATCTCTGTCTCAAACGCTCGAACTATCTCAAGATTCACCCCAGGAGACGGGTCCTCGGCGTCAAAAGGCCAGTCCGATTCGTCTAGGGAGGCTGTCAAATCAATAGGGGAAGGGACGCTACGGCCGTCAGGGAACGGCATGACAACTATCGCTACGTCCTAAGGGCGGTTCGAAGATCAAAGTGGTTTTTCCTACAAACACTAGATCTAACCCCCTAGGAAGCAAAATATAAAGAAAAGGAAGAACAAATTCAAGAATCTAACCTTGAACTTTTGAAGATCTGAAGAACACTCGACGATTTCTGGGAAGCACTTCTCTCTCTAAGAAATCTCAGCAGCAATTCAGCTCAACAAATTGCAAATGAGGGTAAGGCTTCGGAATGAGGGGGTATTTATAGAAAACTTCCAAACGGTCACTACACGTGGCGTCATCCCATTGGCTCCACCAACGGCCACCTCTCTTCCAACCAATCAAGGGGCGCCAATTCAAAATCACTCAAGCAAGCGCCCCTACGGCCCAACTCAGCCTTAAAAAAGAACAGGGCATCGGCCGAGTATCACTACGGCACAAGTACTACAGAGCTTCAAAGCAAGCGTCGGCCCATACGGCCGAAAAAGGAACGCATCGGCCTAACTCTACGACCTCACAACGACCCAGAAAACCTTAATAGACCGCTACGGCCGCTTGTGCGTGCATCGTCGATGATAACCCTGGCATTGCGGCCTTCGTCCAAGGGTTCTCCCACAGGGTTACCTTGGCAGGTTCGCCTAAGGGTTGGAGTCGCGACTAACGCACAGGTGCCGAAACGGCTCATTACTCCCTTGTGCCTCAGATACTCTTCGGCCAAAGGAGTGGGGGACTGGGGGACTGCATCGGCCACAAGGAAAGAAAACGCAACGGCCTTAACACAAAAAGGATGCGCTACGGCTCACCAGCAACAAAAGACGGACAAATCACCTCAGATAAGCATTAAGAGTCGCATCAGCTACCTCAATAGCATCACGAGTCGCGTCGGCCGCCAAACCCAAAATAAAAAGAAACTCACCATGCGAGGTCTAGCACGCAACGGCTGCGTACACTGAGAGGACCGCATCGTCTCACCATAACAAAAACTCACTAGTCAAAACGCTTCGGCTGCATGACAAATCAAAGGTGCGCATCGCATCGTCCACATAAACAGAATCAACCATCTTCATCTCATGAAAATAGGTCTTCGCTACGGCCAAAAGGATAAATGGGAGCTCTTCGGCCCCAACAAAGATAACGACGAAAGCATGCCAACTTATCCACCAAGGATTCATCGCATCATCTACAAAAAGAAAGCGCATCGCCTCGTCTTCAAAGACACTCCCACAGAGTGTGCTTCGGCCCGCATCAAGACTATGAGTTCCCAAGCACGCTTCATCTACATCAAATAAGGGAACCGCTTCATCCAAAATCAAAACAGGAACTCTTCGGCCATCAAACGCCCTGGGCTCACGCAACGGCCAGCCAGAAAGGAACAAAGTACTCCCTTTCGCTTCGGCTTCACCTCAGCTCAGAGAGTGGGGGACTCCTGATAGAGTATATGGGCCTGGACCCCATGGCCCACATACTCAACGGCCCAAAAGACACCAGCGGGACACCCGCATCGGCCAAAGGCACGTGACGCCCAAGGGAGAAGATATCGCCTGATTTCTATGGACCGCATCGTCAGTGAACCGCGTCGTACATGGACCGCGTCGTCCATGGACCGCGTCGTCCATGGACCGCATCGTCCATGGACCGCATCGTCCATGAACCGCATCGTCCGGACTTCGTCCGGGCAGAATGTATTTTCCTATTTTTTGTACTAAGTGTTGTACTCAGCCCATTAGTGGCCTTATTCGCCCAAAGAAGGCATGATTATTGTAATGGGCCTCTTAAGCCCAAGGCTAGGGGCCCAAATCTACATTTTTACCTATAAATAGACCCCAAGGGGCTAATTATAGGGGACTTTTTCCACTTTGAGAAATATAATTACTCACTTTCTCTCTCTAGCTCTCGCTTCTCTCTAGAATTAATACTCTATCATCTGGTAATTTCGTATATCCATCATCTGTATCCATAGAGTGTACATGAAGTTATAAATTGTGGTAATGCAGTTAGTCGAAGTGTGGTATACACATGTGTACACAAAAGTCATGTCCCCAAAGCTGTGACCTCTAACCTGGCCTTCCACCACAAATTTTAATACGTACTACACACTTAGTTAAGCTTTTTTCAAAAATATTACTAAAATTAAACTTATTTACACAAATAGCACTAATAGTTACTACAATATAGTTTAACTATGATTCCATAAGTTAAATTTAACTTAAACTTAAAAATTGAGTAACAACTTAAATTTAAAGAGTGAACATAATTTCATTATTATTCTAGTTAGATATATAATATTCCATCTAGTTATCCTTCCAAATTTCCCACGCTTGACCAAATGAACTGCCATGAGGCTCTCTATCTCCAATCTCAAAATGTATACTACTATTATGTAGATGTAAGATGCTCTAAGAAAATCAGAAAATGAGGAGGGACGAGGGAGGCTGATTTCTGTGGAGCTGCCCGACAAGCTTAAGTGCGGATTCAGCAACAGACGTGGATTTTTTAGCCACATTTCTGATGCTCATGGAATTGAAACGCCTTTACTTTATCAATTTTAAAAAAGTAGCAACGGGTGAATAGATCGATGGGAGTGGAATTGGTATAATGCAGCGTCTCCCTGTTCTCTATTTCCCTCACTGCTTAAGCTTCGGATGGCGATTGGGTCAGTTTTTCTGCTGTTCAGCTCACTGAGTCAACCATCTCTCTTTCTAGTTGCAAGGCTAATTAACTGAAAGTCTGAAACCAAAAGAAATAAAAGAAATAGAGAGATCTTTATACTTTCTATTTAAACCAGTTCTATTGTCGCTCTCAGTCCACTTCTGCTTCGAGCTTTCAACGGAACGACAAGATCCTCAAGTGTTTCCCTCATGATATAAGTTACGGAGTATGCATATTTTAATTCTTTTGTTTACACTTGCTGTTTTTAGTTTTCCCAGAAATATAAATAAACAAAACATAAAAGCTGTCCCAGTTTTTCCTTTGTCCCCTTTTCATTTTTTAAATGTAGTAAAAGAAGAACTTTTACTTAGACCCTTTCTGGAGTTGGGTCCATCCTGTCTACTTTTCTTGTCCAAGATTTTACAAGTCTTCTTCATGATCTTTCAGCCTATTTCTACTTTATGGGTAAATCTATTACATTATGCCTCACTGGTTTTGCCTCTACCTGATCACACCATAAATGTAACTTTAGCACAGTGAGCATTGCTTCTGTTGTATTCATCTGTGATATACATTGAATTTGAGTGAATTGTTGGTAGTTTTGCCATATTTATTAGCCCTAGTGACCAATCTTGAAACCCGGTGTTATTTTTGAGTTTTAGTTAGATAAATTGTTAATTTGAGATGAAATTGCTTGGACAAGGATTTAAGTAACTGAGTAGTAAAAATAATTTGTAATTTTGTATTTGGACTGATTTAGAAATAGTTTCCCTAATAGCTAAGTCCTTGAATTCCAGTCTAATCGCAGGTAGAAGTAAAAGTGAGAATTGTATGATCTGTATTCTGTAATTGAAAGATAAATAGAAAATGGGGTGTGCTGTTTCGAGGATGGATCAAGAAGAGAGGGTTCGCCTGTGTAAGGAACGAAAGAGGTTGATGAGAGAATTGGTTGGGTATAGAGAGGAATTTGCGAACTCCCAATTATCATATTTGAAGGCATTAAAGAACACTGGGGTGACTCTTAGACAGTTTACTGAGTCGGACACATTGGAGCTTGAAACCATCTCCTGCGAAGACCACATTGACTCTTCTCCGTTGCCTCCGCCGCCACCCCCACCCCCACCTTTTAGCCCTGATTCAAGAAAGAATGGTGATAATTTGGAAGAGAGTGAAGAGATGGAGAGCAGCCAATCTGGAGATATATTAGATGATAGCTCATCAATGATGAACTGGTTTAATAAAGACTCTTCTACAGATGTGGCCGTGGAAGCTTTGCAAATCAGAAAGACACTTGAGGGAATTATGAGGGATTTAGATGACTATTTCTTGAAAGCATCAGCTGGTGCAACAGAAATAGCAGTTTTTACTGACATCAACATTGGGGACAGTGCTGTTCCTTGGAAAATTAAGGAGAACAAGGGTAAGTAATCTTTTTCAACTCATATTACCACATTTTACGTCTTTGAAACACAACATGCTTCATTTTTCGAAAATGTACATTTATTTAATGAAAATTTAGCTTATTCTGTTGAAATTGGGGTTTTGGAGGACACTGAGAGTTTATTATATTGTTGTAAAATGTCTGAGAATCATAGACAGAAAACTTTGGGGTGGGCCAGACAAAGGATTCATTCATATAAAGTTCACACAAATTCTTACACATTAAGAGCGAAGGCTTTTCAAAACTTGGAGTGGGACCAGGCCCTGGATGGATCCCCTACGTACGCCCCCACTGGTAGCTTTATTCTACAAAATGTTTTTTATTTTTGAACATTTTGATTTGCGATATAGGGAAGAGGAGCAGGTCTTCTAAGGCCCTTCCAGTTGGTAGAGATTCTGCTCAGTGTGGATCTAATGAGCCATGCAAGCCTGGCGCTCATTGCATAACCCTTGATAAGCTTTATGTTGCAGAACAGACTCTTTTCAAGGATTTGGAGGTAAGAGACATACTTAGCATGTTCATTGGACTAATAATATAAGAATAATTGAGTTTTGCAGTTTATTCTTATCTCGAGTTCTGCCATGTTTCAATTTGAACATTGCAATGTGACATACCCCTATAAGTTGAGAATTTTCAATCTCATATTTTCAATGTAGGTGGAAAAAATATGCTATATGCTATATATGCTGCTGTAGGTTTTCATATCATTAATCCTTCTTAGAAGGTTGTGGCAGTCACACTTGCATAGCTAGGGTGCCAATCCAGGCCTCAGCGGCTCAGCCCATATATATTCTATATAACAAAGAATATTTAAGTGTAAAAAAACACTAAAATGAATGAATAATTTTTCTTGTCACTTCTATTGATTGTCGTTTCTCCATCTATTTTGTTACGTTTGAATCCCTCATGTCCTTGTGAATTACATGCATTTTTTCAATCAGCAAAATAAAACTATTTGGAAAGTTTTTGTCTGCATGGTTGATGTTGTGTGGTTGGTTGCTTATCAATGTATTTTCCTCAAGCTTATTTGCGTGTGTATCCTGGTGTATGTATAAGTCTTTGACACTTGTGTATTCTCATGGTTGATGGTGTGGATGATGATTGAACAGCTTGAAAGGAAACTGGCGGGGCTGCAGAATCAAGATGAAAACAGTTTAGAGACTTACAATGGGCTCCAAGAATCAATAACCACAATCTCTTCATCTATTTTGGAGCTTATTGATGAAGAGTTGTACCCCCAATTGATTGCATTAACTTCAGGGTACATGTCCTGCCATCGTGCTGCATGTTTCTAATAGGATTTTCCCTCTCAAGTATTAGTAACTACCATTACTCAAAAATGTAAATATCTTATTTTAGGACAGTTCCTTGGCCAGTTGTCTGTTGGTAACTACATTGGTAATTGGTCATGGTCACTTGACAGTTTGCAACTAAGTTGGTGATATTTGTGTCCTAAACTTAAAAATTAACATTTCTTAATAGTAGTTTTGTTTTGTAATATGCTCTAACTTATTCATAGTATATATTCTAATCGTTTTCTATTTAGTGCATTCCTAATGACCTATAAATGTGGTTGAAATTCAACTCTACCATCCTAGTCTTTTGTACAACACTGAATCATTGAATCATGGTTTTCTACTTTAAAGAAATGATCCAAGCTTTCCAAATGACAGGTTAATGGAAATATGGAAAATGATGTACAAATGTCACGAAGTCCAGAGCCATATTTCGAGTCAGCTAAATCATCTCACTGAAAGTTTAAGCTTCGACAGAATAGCCGAATCCCATCGTCAGGCTACTGCTCAGCTTCAAACTGAGGTATCATTTTGGTCACTAAGCTTCTCCAAGCTTGTAGTATCTCAGCAGGAGTATGTGAGAACACTCTGCAGCTGGATCCAACTCACCAATATCCTCGCGGATGACCATCAACACAGTCATTGCTCCTCTGCTGTTCACCGCCTCTGTCAAGGATGGCAGCTTGGCTTTGAAAAGTTACCAGATAAGGTGAAGTTCTCGTTTAGAAATAGTTATTTTTAAATAAGCCCGACGTCATTAAATATGGTTAGAAATAGGGGGGGGGGACTTGGTCCCCGTTTTGGACACGTACTGGCCAGGTTTTTAAAGTGGAAACCAAACTGGGGACCGGACCTTAATCGGAACCCTTACTAGTAACTGGTTTTCTCTAGTCCAGTTCCGGTCAGAATAGGATCTGACCGGCCGAGGTTAGTATCAGTTTTTGTTTTAAATATAATGAAATCGGGTATGAACCAAGCAGGAATAGGATACGGAACCAGACCGTATCACCAGTTCCAGTTACCACTCCTTCCTCATGGGGGACTGAAATCGGGCAGTCTAGAACTGGACTGGAACCGTCCCGTCTCTACTGTACACCCCTAATTAGGAAGTCAATTTCTTGTACAGTGATGATATTTCGGTAAATTCTTGATATGAGATACTACAGCACATTCTTCATCTGCTCATGTGTTCCCCAAGTATTCCTGGTTTCTCTAAGTAGGAGTATTATGTTTTTCCCTCTAAATATGATCAATGTACTGCTATATCATGACACTATCAGGCATAAATATAACAGTGTTAATGCCTATGGGCTATGGCGGTATAATTTCACGATGATAGTACTTGCTCAGTTTGCCTATTTAGATAAAATAGACTACGTAGTATTCCTATTTAGGTTAATCGCCTTATTTTCACTCCTATTTAGGGCAATTTCTTTACTTCACTTTACCTTTTCACAATAAGGGTGTAATGGGAGTTGTGAGAGCATTTTCTTAAACTGAGCGATTTGTGAGTTGCAGGTGGTTGCAGATGCCATTAAGAGTTTTTTGTTGGCTATCCAATCCATAATCCAACAGCAGGGTGAGGAGCATAACCAGCGAAAAAAATGTGATAAGCTCGAGAAAAGGTTGGAGAAGGAGTTGAGCTCATTGACCGAGTTGGAGGACAGATTTGAGGGTTTGGCAAATGCAAACAACTCTGCTGCTGCAAGCCCAAAGCACCCTTTAAATTTGAAGCGTGCCAAAGTTGAAGCCTTGAAGAACCAAGTTGACTTGGAGAAAGGCAAACACCTAAGCTTGGTCCAAGTTTACAAGACTATGATTTTGAACCATTTCAAAACTAGCCTTCCAACTGTCTTTCATGCCTTAATGACGTTTTCAAAAGCTTACACTAATGTTCTTGAGGCCATTCTCAGCCCACCCAGCTAGCTCTGAAGTCTGTCTATTGCAAGTAATATGTAAACAACAGTGTTGAATTTGCTCAATTTCCCGGCTCGCCTTTTTGTCCAAATTGTAGCTAAAGCAAGGGGCAACATCCCAAGTTTTAGCTGCATTTCTTCCAAACTAACAGGATACCTACAAACAAAGTCATTTGGTAATTATAAACTCCCTCTGTCCCTCAAAACTTCTGTCCCTCAAAACTTTACCAAGTTTGTCTGGCATTGAAATTAATAATAAAGTAAAAATTATGTGATTTGAAATTGTGCAGAGAGAGAAATAATATGAATCACAAATTCATTGATAAAAAAGAAAGATGACAAAGTTATAAGGGATTGAAGGAGTATCAACATTGATGTACCATTGTGACACATAATTGAAATACGTATGTTAACGATTACAACATCAATTTTTAACCGAGCATTGTAAATCAAAATAAGTAGCTAAGTTTATACTCAAGTTATGGTTTTTATAATTGACTAGTAACCTAAACAAGTCCGTTTTTCAAATCTAATAACTAAAAGCAAGAGTCAATATTTGGGAAAAATTGTGTTCATTACAAAAGATTGACTGATTGATCCAAGCGGATTACATCCCAGATCCTCTTATGTGGAGTCACTTCTTAAACTGGGAATGTGAGAGTATTTGATCCAGCAATTCTCCTAGTAGTTGGGTAATTTGAATATACGTGTGAATGTCACTCAATTAATAGCACTTTCTTGAAAGTCAACTTCTTATATTAAGAACGTGATGTTTGATATGATGATTCTCCCACAAGTTTGATTGAAAATTCAAATAAACTCTCACTCAATTAAGAACGATTACTTGAAAACTCTAGTGTATAGATGAGAATATACAAGAATTTAGGGGATTTTGAGATCTCAGTTTTTAGGAGAATCAAATCCTTTTATAGTTTTATCCAAAACAAATTTTATTATTTGGCGAATGTTCTAACATTTTCATTTTAATCCAATTTTCTAAAATATGTATCCAAATTTTATTTTTTCGATATGGTAATAATATTGCATAAGAAAATTTTTAAAAATATAGCTAAAAATAGATATTTTGAAAAAAAATATATAACAATTTACAGAAAAAATGAAATGGAATGCCACATGGAATCAAGGATGCTATGAGAAGAGGTCAGTGACGGATCCAGAAAAATGACTCAGGGGATACAAATTCAACTATATATAAAATGAAAATAGTGGATCATTTTTAATGAATATTCGAGTTGAATGTTTCATAAGTAATTTAGATAGATGATATTTAAGTAAGATCAGTAGAGTTATAAATTTGATATATATATATATATATATATATATATATATATATATATATATATATATAGAAAAGATCAGGTCCCTCCGGAGGGACGGGAGGGACCGTCCGAACTTTACTGTTTGGGGCGGTTCCCGGTGGAATATTTTGATGAAATTTTTTGAGCATGTTCCTCATCAAGTCTAGTTTGTCCATACCAAATTTCAGCTCAAAATTCGACTGGGAAGACAGTCAAATAAATTCTTGAAGCTTACTGCACATTCTGCGCATATATAAAGTGCAGTAAGTTTCAAGAATTTATTTGACTGCCTTCCCGGTCGAATTTTGAGCTGAAATTTGGTATGGACAAACTAGACTTGATGAGGAACATGCTCAAAAAATTTCATCAAAATATTCCACCGGGAACCGCCCCAAACAGTAAAGTTCGGACGGTCCCTCCCGTCCCTCCGGAGGGACCTGAGCAGTCCTCTCTCTCTCTCTCTCTCTATATATATATATATATATATATATATATATATATATATATATATTTGGGATCATATACAAATGTGACTTAATTTACAAAATACAAAATGATCCTAGCCATTCATCTAAGTATTATTTCCATGCGGTTGTTTTAATTTTAAACCCAAGACCGTAACTAACTTGAGGGTGTATTGGCCATTACATTCACCTCTAACCATGGAAAGAGAATCACGTACAGTTTACCAGCCCTCTTTCCGTTAATAGCTTTGTTTCCATATCTGCGATCAAGAGTTTGCCGTATGAGACTATCCCTTCTTTTCCATTTTGCTTTTCTCCATTCTTGTTACATTCAATTCCAAGGTAGGTTAATCACTTTTTCGTCAAATCCATGGAATCCGAATCAGGTATGCCTATCACTTCGTTTGAATACAAAACAATCAATATATTCATTTTAATACAAAAAATCTCCCTAAAACATCGTTTGAATACAAAAAACAAATATATAGTCGTTTTATCTCTGTTTCAATACAAAATAATTTGAAGAGTTGCAGATTTTTGTGTATGATTGTGTGGCCCTATTTTTAAATTTTGATTGAAGCGTACAATTATCAGTTGCTACTGTCACCTTCTTCATCTGCATAATTCTTGTTTTCTGTGTAAGTTCTTCGTTTTTTGTTCTTCGTTTAATTTTAGTTCATATTTTTATGTTGGGCAAAGTTCATACGTTTCATGTAGCCATATTTTGTTCATCATTGAAGCAGTCAATAATTGTGTCCTTTTGTGGTTCCGGTGTGCCTTTTGTCATCACAGTTCATCCTCCACAACAAGCCAAGAATAAAGGTTGAAGACGTAGGATCAAGTCTTCCAAAGAGGTTTCTATCCAAGAGACTTTGTTGTTTGTGCAATGAGATGAGCCATCATGATAGCCAGAAATGTCCCTTGAATAAATAGAATTGTTTAAGATCATGGCTTTTAGTAATTAATGTATTTTGTATGTTTTTACTGCAGTGGATGCACACTCTTAACCGAATTTGTTAATGAATATTGTTTTATGTTTTATAATATGCATCTCGTTCATACCTTTACTGCATTGTACACATCATTTATATGCATATTTGAATACATTGATGTCCACCCTGTAGTTGTACATTAGTCACGACTAATTGTATTATGTTCAATTTCTTTCTCCATACTTTGGTACATTCTTATACTTTTTTATCAGTAAATACATAAGCAGTTATTGGTGTAACACTAAACGTTACACACTCACACATCTCACCATTTATTTACTAGAAAAACTCATGAGATTTATTGACTATGTAATTTTAAAGTAATTGGCACACATGCATATTTTGAAGTGCACCTTAGATTTACAATGGGTGCATTAGTAATTAATTAAATAATAGATCTGCACACGTACATGTTTTGACGTTCAAGTTTTGAATGCATTGTACGTATAATTTAAATGCATATGTAAGTACACTGATGTGCACCCTGTACTTGTACATTAGCCACCACTAATTTTATTAGGTTTTATTTGTTTCTCGATACTTTGTTGCTTTCTCATAATTGTTTTTATCGGTAAATACGCATGCAAATATTTTTGAAACACTAGATGTACACATTCACACATCTCACCATTTATTGACTAAAAAATCCATGAGATTTATTGACTATGTAATTATTATAACTTAATTTGCACACGAACATACTTTGAAGTGCACCCTAGATTCACAAATGGTGCATTATCCACCACTAATTGTTTACGTTTAATTTTTCCTTCATACTTTGGTGCTTTCTCATAATTGTTTTAATAAGTAAATACACATACAATTTTTTTGTAACACTAAATGTACACTAAAAAATTAATGAGATTTATTGATTATGTAATTATTACTTAATTTGCACACAAACGTATTTTTAAGTGCACCCTAGATTTACAAACGTTGCATTAGTAATTGTTTTGTATTCTGTGCAATAAAATGTATGTGTAAAATAATGACTATTTGGAACTATTGTATGTTATGCATTTCATTCAATTTCAAACATCATTCAAATTATAAAAAAGACTCACGTAAACCCCGAACATACATTAAAACAAACTGTATTCAACGTCAAGTTTCACACACAAAAATTAAGCATAAAACAGTCTTTAATTGTAAAATCCAAACATGTCATTGTAAAACTGTAATGTTAAAACAGAGTCAAATTGATATCAAATTCAAATATCACTGAATTCATTCATTGGGTGTTGTTCCCTTTTGTTTTTGTTCTTTAGCTTTCTTGGCAAACTCCTTGCCTTCACTAAGTTTTAATGCATGTACTCATTCTTTTCATTCAGGAGAAATGCTGAGATGTACTTCACGCGTAATGTCCCTATCAATTTGGTGTCTGTTTTCTTCAGCCCAATATTCCATCCTTGCAAGTTGCAAACCTTCACCTCGATGTGTTTTTATGCCACATTGTGAAGATGCCATAGTCATAAACGTTCTCGTTGTCCCTCCACTCCAAATTATATTTTTCTAACCTTCACAATATAGCTGCACTTGTACTTGTTTCCCCTTATTAATTAATTACCTTCTTTTTCTTCTTTGTGAACTTACTCCCACATGCTCATGTTTTCTTTCTCTTTTGCGGTATTGTTTCGCAGTTTTCTCTAGTTCCTACATTTGTTAGTTTAGTTAAAATACTGAAATTCATCACTAAATGAACTTAATAGCACCTTCAAATGCACTTTCACTGTACTGTTATGCATCATTACTACATGGAGATTGGTATTAATCACAACATAACCACATAATATCATTCTTTATTCACTTCAATGTATATTCACTCAACTAGTACAATTTGTTCGTACTACCATTCCTTTTTCCTTACATACTATCATTTCTTATTCCTTACATGCACCACACGGTTACAATAAATTGCACCCTAGTACTCTTTTTCTGCATATTCACTCACCTAGATATAAAAAACACAAAATCAGTATCCCTGCTGATTCATATTTCACTTAAACACAATGCACTTAAATAAAAGCTAATACTTTTTTGCACCTATACCTAACTACTTTGCATGCAAGCTCCATCATTAAAAAAATGAAGATTCATATGTATATTAATTCAATCACAAACCAATCAACATTCACATGCACAAAACTCAATTACATAAACCACACTTTTTCTTGAATTGCACCCTACCTTTCTCAGTCTGCAATTTAACTCCCATATACAACATCCACACTGACCATTGAATTGCACCTTTATCTAGACTATTTTGCACATTAATTCCAACACGTAAAACCCACAATCAACTGCACAAATCTGATAATAGGAACACCAATTACGAACACAAAACTTACCTTCATAATCAAAATACACTTCATTGATCCTTGAGATGCACACTTCATTCAAGTGGCAGTCCATATTAGCAAAGAAATTTAATCATTACAATAAAACAACTAAAAAAAACTTCAATCAATCTGACGTCCACCCCAATTGCACCT